GTAATACCGCTTAGTACGAGAGGAACCGCGGTTTCAGATAATTGGTTTTTGCGGCTGTCCGACCGGGCATTGCCGCGAAGCTACCATCTGCTGGATTATGGCTGAACGCCTCTAAGTCAGAATCCATGCCGGAAAGGGACGATTCTGCCCCGCGTCGCGATAGACGAGTACGAATAGGCTTCGGCCCCGGACCTCAGCAGGTCGGCGACGGGTCGCTCCGGGAAGAGGGGCGGCCTAGCCGGCGTATTGCAAGATGGTTGCGCGTGGGGATAAACACTTTGCAGACGACTTAGTCGCGTCTCCCGGTCGTGTACGTGGACGAGTAGCCTTTGTTGCTACGAGCCACTGATCGTAATCCGGCGAGGCCTCTGTTTGTCTTCCTGCCTTTTTTCTCTGATCCCAGGCTGGGAGATGTTTGTGTCTCGGATCCGATACATATGTGTGTAGGTACTGGAGAAAGCGGCGTTGTCCGGCTTCTGTTTGTTCCGCAGAGGTGTGCGGGGACAAGCAGGCGCTGGGCAGCGTCGCTTTTTTATTTGCCCCGTTTTCTGATGCTTAAAAGCAGGGATTTCTTGGAACGGAACGTGATTCTCTTTTTTTTTTTTTTTTCTTTTTTTTGGAATTCTGATTAAGCCGTTTCGGCTGGCCTACGGCCGCCATACTGGCGTGTTCTACAAAGCATAGCCACTATCCACCCCGCCGATCTAGGTAGGCTGATCCTACAGATCAGGACTGCAAGCATTAATCCTCCGCCGCTCCGCAGCCCTCGGGCGTTACCACTTTTGCCTGCTCCTCAGAACAAACCGCCTAGTCGGTCGTCCGGCATGATGTTAAACTGCCGGGTTCAGAGTCCCCCTTGGCATGGCCCATTTTGGAGGGTGGCTACCCTCTAATTATTTGCCTTCTGTTTACTGTACTTTCGCCTCGGGCCCTATGGGCAGATTCACCGTCTCTAGGGCCCTCTGTGGCTGGTTCATTCCCTAGTACTAACCGTCTTCCCCTGTCTGCATCTCTGGTATCCTACCCCTATGAGGGCAGTCTACCACTCTTGTTGTATAATGGCTCCTGTAAATTGCCTAAGGAGGCCAGTTTGTTGTAGGAATCGGGCGGTGAGTTTCGCGTCTTTATTGAGCAGGTCTTTCATGTCGGCAGGCTGCAACCTGCGCCATACCTGCTTGCGCAGGTTATTGAAGTTGGGGCACTCTTGGAGGACATGCCGTACTGTCTGGACTTGACCGCACGGGCATTTATTATCCTCAGCCCGATTGGTTCTGTGTAGGTAAGCTCTGAGGCTGATGATGCCGGTTCTAGCCTGTATCAAGATTGACGTGGGTGTCTTCGGCAGGTCTCTGTAATATTTGAGCGTGGAGGGGGATACGTTAGGTAGGATCTGCCGTAGCATGCCTCCTGTCTTTGCTGTAGCCCAGCTGCTCGCCCATTCTTTCTTTGCCTTTTCTTCTCCCACCTTTCTGCTGCTGGCCTCAGTCGGACTGCCCCTTCCATCGTCTTCGCTGGCGATTTAGGGAGCCTGTTATTTCGCCACCCTGTGGCTCTTTTGGCCAGCTCGTCAGCTATCTCATTTCCGGTGATCCTGATATGTGCCAGGACCCATTGGAATCTTGTCCTGATCCCTATTTGGAGCGCCGCTTGTTCGTGTATTCTGACCCCGTGCACCAGTGATTGACCTGAGCTGTTACCCGGGTTGTCGATCGCCCGGAGGGCTCCCTGGCTGTCCGCGAAGATCGTGATTTTCATTAGCGGATGTTTCTTGTTTGGGTCCCGCTTAGCTTGGATTGTCATTTTGAGGGCGAGTATGAGGGCTGAAAGTTCAGCAGCGGAAACGTTGCTCTCCCTATTTGTGCCTAGGTATCGCATTTCGTGCTTCTTTAACTTGCTGTTATACGCTGCTGCTCCTACTCTTTCCTCGATCTCACTCCCATCCGTGTAAAAACACCAGTGGCTCGGGTCTTCCTCGCGCCCTGTGCTTCCGTGTTGTGCGCAGCCTCTGCCGCGTCTTCCTTTCCACTATTACTATCTGGAGCTTCCTCTCCCAGGGTGCGAACAGCCCGAGTTTGATCACTTCTCTCTGCATCGGGCTCGGGTCTTCCTTCGTTTGGGCTTCCTCGAGTTTCTGTAGAGGGCTGAGCAATCGGTATTGCGCTGATGTTTTCGCTCCCGGGTACGTTCTCTGTCGTATTTCCTTGATATACTCGTAGTGTGGCGGTGTTTGAATTCTGTTCAGGCCTGCCTCGCAGGCTCTGCGGAGTGCTATTTTGATTGGTGGTATGTGGAGTTCAGCTTCAAGGGCGGCCAGTGCCGTCGTCCTGAATGTCCCGCTGACGTAGCATAATGCCCGCTTCTGTATGCTGGCTAGAGATTTTTCCATTTGGCTTCTCTGGGCGTTGAAGCCTCTCCCTCCCTTCGGGAAGTACCAGCATGATGCCAAGAGCTGCTTACTTGTCCTAGTGGTTCATCAGCACAGTTATCGTTTAATCGTTATCAAACTGCGTGCCAATACACTTTGATTGGAAGCAATAGTTGTGTTTTCTCCTAAATTTGTATTTACAGTCCCCATATTTTAAGAACGGATAGGTTTAACGGGCTTGGCCCGTGTCTAACCCACAGTGAAAATGTGACTGGGAAAGCAGCCGAATCAACTACTTGTTGATCAGCCCTATTTTCAGACAGCACGCAGGAGATACCTTTCATCCTTGCGCCCACCAAAAATTCCAGGAAAATAAACAATTGCTCAAAAAACCATATATATAGGCATATAGGTAAGAGCAACGAAAAGCTATAGCGTATAATGTAGTGATGCATAAAGTATAGTATTATACTATGGTAGATCCTATACTATGCTTGGTATTAGTATCGGGTGCTAGTAATATAGTGAGGACGAGACACAGACGAGGGGCTGGGGTCCTGTGCGTTAAAACTATGTCCACCCAGACTTTGGAGTATAGTAATCTCCCATAAGCTGTTACGAAGTAACACGTGATGACTCATGTGAAATGCTCATTTTGATCAATTGAGCAAAATGAGCATACCGGCCTATCAAAGAAAGGAATGATTACTCTATCACTGATGATTGGCGAAAGTGCTCATTTGAGGAAAATGAGCAAGGGAACAAGGACTTATGATTCTGGTCTATAAAATCATCCTGTCCCTACCTCTGTTAGCATCTTATTATATTTCCTTTCATGATAAGCCTTAGTTATACGTTGTTCCTTTGCTCTAGGAAGCTCATCCCTTCCGAAGTGGTTCACATTGGTGAAGCTAGTCGGTACTGGGAAAGTATTCCTAACAAAAAGCTCGAGCCCCAAGATGCTGGCGTCGACGATGATGACAACGACGAGGATGACAACGACGAGGAGAATGAGGACAAGGAGGAAGAGTTTGAGGAATCTCCACCGGGCTGTGCTAAGCCGGTTACCTGAGAGCTTCTCCAAACATCGACGCGCAATGTTTTCACTTCTATCGAGGTCTTGCAACGAAGAAAGAATTATGGTACGAACGAGGCCTGGAACCGCCAGTGTCCGACCGGGAAGGAAGAGATTCCATGGTTAAGATCATGTGGCACAGCCGAGCCACGTATCACGCAATGCTGGAGACCCGGAGCTCGCAGCCCAGGCTAGGAAAACCACTGTGGGCAAAAAGTGGTAACGGTCTTTGAGGGACGTGACCGCGTTGTGGTTAAGCCGGGGCTCAAGTAAACAGATACGGCATGGACAGCAACACAGCAAATGAAGAGGATTATTCACTGGGAGTCCGTCGAAGGACGTGAAGGGTGATACAACGATTAAGTAAGATGCTGGAAGCCCTAGACACCAATACGATCTTTGACACAGAGACTGACGAGGATAACTACGCTGCAAGATGCTTAAGGATGGCAGAAACCGGCTTCTCGAAGGGCAACTAGGACGGAGAAAGTTCAAGATGATTCGAAGTAAGTGCAGGCTAACCATTTAAGCCATCTGTCTTGTGGAACAGGCCCTCAATGCAGAGAATGAACAGAGAGGCGCAACGGACAATGCGGAAGGAGGGGACTGAACAAGTACCATGCATTATAGAAGCTGCAAGCTTCCAAGAGCTGTAAGCTATAACTTGGATTAGTAAATGAACCAGAATGTACAGACGGCCGCCACTCGCTGGAGATGATGATGATGATGATGATGATGATGATGGAAAGCGGGTGGGTGGCGTAAGTGGCAGCTGACTAGTCGTGTTTGTGTATACGACGCAGCGACGTCGAGTACAGTAATCGGCTTCTTGTCATATACCGTAGGCAGTACAAGAACTGTGGACATCATCGCGTGAATTGCCAGAGCGATGAAGACCAAAAATTGGAAATAAATAGACAGCTTCACTTTCATGCAAAGCTCCTGTTCCACGACTCGTGCCGACAACATCCGTTCGCATGTAAATAAGACACAACAGCAGAAGAGAAAGTGCAGGCGTGATCTTTGTCGCTGCTAGGCGACGCAAAGCGAGCGCAGGCGAAACCCAAGCCTCGCTCTGCTGAGCTACCTTGACCAGCCGGAAAGCTGGAAGCCTTATCCCATGGAAGTTCGATTGGGCATGCCCACTTGCGTACGGTACATGACGCGAAGCCGTTTACCAGCCTCACTTCTAAAGCTCTGGAATATTTGGGCGGATCATTGTTTCCGCCGTGCGCAAAACTCCCCTTCACGTTTAACAGCATTCGTTCAGATCAAAATTGACGTTTCTGAGTCGGTTCACTCCTTCATTTCAACTGTCAGTTTGCTATCCATGCCAAAAAATAAATCTTACTTGCCTTCAATATGGCTTGAACAAATCTTGACCGCCCTTAACACCCCCTGTTGCTAATCTCGCCAGCCATTCATCCTTCCCTTTGACTATCCACCTGACACTGTCATTTACCCAGCCTGCGAGTGCTTCGTGTACAGCAGTGCCATCTTCTCTCGGGACACGAATCCACATTTCTTTATCCTTTAGCTTCAAAATATCCACAGGAATGGCAGCGCCATGTAGCCCTACGAAGCGTTGGAGCGCAGAAGTCAAATGCCTTTTTGCTGTGATTATATCTAGTTCTCCATTGACTGATGCGGTAAGTGTCGAGAAGAGCTGTAAATGAAAGTACATCCATGAAGGCTTGCGAATAGTCTCGAGGTGAAGAGCGTGGCAGGGATTCTTCTTTTGCTTTCTCTTTGAATATTGAATATTGGGAGAATTTTCAAAGTCTCTTTTTTGAAAATTCAAATCTCCATGATTATCGTCCTTTTGCTCTGTATCCTCCACGACTGCGTTGTCCGTCGCCATGCTTGGCACTTAGTCCTGTTGTTGTTGGCGGATGTTAAAGCTGATCTCATTTACCCTCTTCTGAAGCTAGCCCATTGACTGCGAGCTCATAATAAAGAGGAGATGTCTCCAAAAATTCAAGGTTGCTTAAAGACGCATTGTACAAATGTGAGAACACGATTAAAAGAACGTAGTTAGGGTTGGTGCACGCTAGCGGAACTCTTCCGTGCTTTAGCCATGTCTGCCTTGATTCCATGCGAGCGGTGCGAGACTGCCTCCTACTGAGCAGTTTCGTTGGCGTATTGTTCCTCCAGATTGAACCTGCTTCTAGTACTGGTCGTATTTCTCACATGAGTTATGGTCCGATGCTGTTGTGAGTCCTCTTTATTCTTTCGCCGAGCGTCCTTTGGAAAATCCGGTGCGCAAACACGACGAAGTCATACTGAATAGAGTACTGCGATCGCTACAAGAAACTGACCGACATCGCGACGGTTTCTTTGACTGACTGTGCTTGAATTATTGACAATGTCCCAAAAAGATTCGAAAGCGCTCACGAAGCGCTCCGCCGAAGACTCGCTTATGCTCCCTCCGCCACCGACCAAGAAGATTAAGCGACCCTCCAAAGTATTAGACGAGGATCAGTATACGTCTGCATTATCGCACATTATAGCACGGGACTTCTTCCCTGGTCTCGAAGAAACTGCGTCGACACAGGAGTATCTAGATGCCTTACAATCTGAAGACAAAGAGTGGATAGCACGAGCAGGAAAGAGATTGACGCAGATTATGACACCTGGTCCAAACGGAAGGCAAGCTAGAGGCAAGATAGGAACGAGGACGACACCGTATACTGGATTATCAAGTGAAACGCCGCAGGGCTGGGTAGGAGACACACCATGGACAGTCGGAAGAACAGAAGTTCATGATCAAAGCCGACCTAAACCACCAAACATTAATATGAATATGTCGCTATCTGCTTTTCAAGCTAAATACACGTCTGAAGACAATGAATCATTCAACGCTCTCCTCGACAAAGGAAATGAGCAGAACCGCCAGAAAAATGCCTGGTTATGGAACGGCAACCAGATCCCAGGCGGTGCGAGAGTACTCGAGCAGGCAAAGCAGCAGAAATCGCTCGAGGCGCTCAACTCGCCATCCGCATCGAACGACATCATACTGGCAGATCGAGCTTGTGATAAACGCCCTGCAATGCCAGAGTACAGAAAGGCCGAACCGAAGAACAGCCTCATGTTCATCCCCGATTCGATAGAAGATTATCAACAGACCAGTATTCAGGAAGCTGAAGCAAAATCTCTGGCCCCCCCAAAAGCTATTAATTACGCAGGTACGCGTATGCCCGATGAGTCAAATCCTGTGTCAAGCGTCCCGCCAAGTCCCTCCATGAGTGCGGTCGACGCTGCAGTTACGGGAAGGCCGCATTTCTCAGCTTCCGAAGCTGGGTACTCAGGAGCAGAGACACCAAGAGTGGCAGGGTACAAATTTGTGGATGCTGAAGTTCAGCCGCATGAGATAACTTACATGGAGCGCCGATCTCGTGGGGAATCCAAAGAGCAGCCTGATCCTGACAATGTGCTCAGATTGCTTGGGTCCCCAGATGCCACACCTAACCCCTTCAAGCTTCCCGAAACCAGCAATAGAGAAAGACTACATCTCAAACTTGTCGACAGGGTTAATAGAAATCGGAGAACGTCAAGTGATAGGCTAGGTGCACTGATGGGGGGCCAAACGCCTGGAAGGACGCCAACCCCGAAATTTATGAGCGCAAGTGGCATCAAGCGAGCGCCAGGAAACCTGACTCCTGCAGCTCAGAACCTTCTGAGAAAGATTGGGACATCCGCTCACGCAACAAGTGCATGGGATGCGAAGTCAAAAGGAAAAGAAGATTCAAAGCTTGCCGGTGTAACACCAAGGATAAGTAGATAACACAAAGATGCGTGTATGATAATTACGATCGATTCAAGCCAAAGATTTATATGAGGCGCTGAGAGGATAATGATGCACCGAAAATATCCTAACCAGAAAATCCCGCTTTTTGTTTCTTCCTTTTGCTTTGCGTATTTTCGAGCTCCGCTGTATTCCTTATGATCGTATCATGTAATATTTCACGATGCCTCGTTGATCGTCACAACTTGATCCTCTTCAATGCTAGGCGGATACTCCGTGCTCAATGTGCTGACCATCTCAAATGTCTTGGCTGATGCAGTTGCTGCGAAACCCCTAGGATAGTTTGTTAATAAGGTCTGCTTTTTGCCTTCAAGATATGATTCTCGCACGATCCACATACTTCAATATACGGTATTCGTGCGTAATAATCCCGCCAGCCTTCAGAATGGCCTCCTTGGCTTGATCGATAATATGGCTCGGTGTATCAGATGACCAGGTCATGATAACGCTTTTCTGAGGTTGAGTTGCCGCAGCCGCAATAGCGACGAGGCCGAAAAGGGCGAGGAGCAAGTTTCGAAGGAATTGCATGGTGTTTGCAGACTGATGTTCTTGTGTGATGTAAGAGTGACTTGGAGAAACTGTCTAAGGGCCTCAGGTTAGCATTTCTGCTTCGGTCAAGATATGTGAGATTACCTGTAAATGGCGATGTGGTGGTGGTTGTGATGGTGTGAGGTGTGGATGTCGACAGTTATAAGCCACTTGTGAAGTTGTGCAGAGTGGACCTGGATAGAACTATGACGTCGGTCACGTGTGTAACAATTTGTCAAACCCATCTAAGTACGAAGCTCTCAGACAACACACGAATCGAGATAAGTTGCAAATTGAGAGGAATAAGATCCAATTTGTCCTAGGTCTATTTCAATTCGATTATGCACCTAGGAGCTACAACTGCACTGCGGCTTCTCCTTGTACTTCGGTACATCACCACAAAATCTCTCCGCGTCGGCTTGAGCCTTCTTAAGATTTCCCTTCTCGAAGCTCCAGGACTCTGCATACGGGTCTAATGCCATTTTCATAAGGTTTGGGAGAACATCTCTGTCCCCTTGGTGTTCTACGCGCTCGATCACTTCGTCCAGAATCCAGCCCTTCGGCACAAACTATAGTTCAAGTTAGTCCGACATCCTTAAGCCAGCTAAAGATGATACGTACGTTGGGATTAGCAGCATTCATGGCATTCCACCTCACCTTATCATCGGCATCACCCCAATCTTCCGCTATTCTGACTCGCCAGGAATCAAGCCACTTTGCAATTCTAGTTCTCGCTTCGTCAGACACAGTTTGGTCTTGTCTAAAGAAGATTGCAGCCTTCTCTCTTCTCTTTTCTTCGCTAATCAGATCCTGTAAGCTGAAGAACTTGGAGCTTAGTCTTCTAAAGCTTTGGTTGTAGTCAAGTTCGTATGCCTCCAAAATATCTAACCACTCCGAGTACAGTTCTTCAAAATCCGATTGCTTAAAAGTTTTTAGGCCAAAGCGTGCTGTCATTGATTGCTTGTAGACCTCCATGAATACAGCCTTATACTCCTCGCCTGCAGAACCGATAAGTGTTTCCGCACGCTCAATCAGCTCATCAGCATCTTCTTGTTTCACGCCTGTTCCGACGAATGTCTCATCATCGACAATGGGTCCTGAGCCAATAAGTTCGCCAAAGGCTTCTCCAAGTCGCACTAAGTTCCACCAAATAATTGTCGGCTGGTTTTTGTATGCGTATCTTAACATGTGATCGTCGTGATTCGGCGTGTAATTTGGATCAAAGACATCCATAAACGCGAATGGGCCGTAGTCCATGCTAAGACCATAGATCGATGTATTGTCGGTATTGAGCACACCGTTCATAAAACCATACGCTTGCCACAATGCCACTGTGCGCGCATTCCTACGTACAATTTGTCTGTATAGTCGAGTATATCGGTTTTCCGCGAATTTACCTTCTCCTTCAATGGTATCCTTGGAGACACCAGACTTAGTCTCAAGAGCTTGTGCTCCATCTACAACTTTCGAGTCCGTGGTGGGTATAGTACGCGTCGAATTTGTTTGATCTTTGGCTGCCATGGTATCCTTACTTGCCTCAATGTTTTCTCCTTCTGTCGATCGTATTTTCGCCGGTAAGTTCTCCCATCCGCCGTACAGCTTTTCCGCTACGAAGTCTGCCAACTTTCTTAAGAGATTCCTGTTTCCTCGCGCCCGTAATAAATCAAACGTTCCGATCCTGATCCATGTCTCTGCAAATCTTGCGACAATAGCCCCAGGCTCTATTCTTTCGCGTATAACTTTTGCTTCGGGCGCTAGCACTAGGCTCAAAGCACGTGTAGTAGGTATGCCAATCGCATTCAGATATTCGCTAACCACAAACTCGCGCAAGCTGGAGCGAAGTACAGCCTTTCCGTCCGCAAATCGAGAATAGGGTGTTCTTCCGGCACCCTTCAACTGCAATTCGTACCTTTCCGGCCAAGGAGCTTTGCAGGTCTTCTTTTCCGTCTCGAACAAGCTGATAGCTCTTCCATCGCCGAGTTGACCTGCCCATTGTCCAAATTGGTAGCCACCATAGCATTGTGCCCAGGGATATATTGCATCATCTGGCACGTTCGCGTCTGGCCCGTCGTCTTCAAGCGTGATTATTCTATTTCCTGCTAGCGTCTGCAGAAACTCGTCTGATTTTTCCTCGCCTTCTTTGATGCCCAGATCCTTCATGGCAGCAGGACTTACTGCAAGTAATTCGGGCGATTGTGTATTCTCGGGACGGACAAATGTATATAGAGCATCCTTGACCAATCTCGGGAAAAGGTCTTCATGGTCGCGCGGTAGTTTATGAGATTTGGACGGCGTCGGGACGTCTGGATCAGCGGGCAAGTTTGAGGTAAAAACATTCGTCTTGGGCAAATCGTACAGCGTGTAAGTAGAACGCAAGCCGCTTGTGCTGCTCATATGTGACGCCATTTGGGCTAAACGCTTGCTCATTGGCAATATCCTGTAGGCTATGTTTGCTCCAGTCGCTCTCCTTGAAAAGTAGAGCAACAGCATGAACTAGAATTGGGAAAATGCTCTAGGTCAATTTACAGTCATACGAGCTGCGACGAATGGGGCTGTGGATAAAGAGGGTTGCGTATGTATCATCGAGAATTCTGGACTGCTACGATTACATATGCCTGATGCCGGTTTGTACCTTTAGCTCGGTTGTAGGGATGTTCAGATCAGAACAAGCCCTGGAACGTCATTGCGTTGCCACTCAACGTCCCGCACGCTTGGATGTTCTCGGAGGCCGAAACCTCAGGCACGAAGGCCTCCAGTTGAATCGGGTGGGAGCTGGGGAGTGCAGTGACTTGCTGTGCTCCACCAACGCAGCCGCAGCTGCAGGGGCCCTTGAGAGTTTCTAGAACGAACCGCTTCTACAACGTCCGTAGCTGAAAGAACAGCCTCCTATCGAACGGAATTCTAAGCTCGGCCTGGGACTCAATTCCATAGAACTAACTGTACTGTGTTGCGTTGCGCTGACGGGGCAGCTTCCAATTGGACACCTTTGCACTCTTCCAAAATAATTCAAGACTGAGAGTAGAACGTTGCATCCATAGTAGTTCAAACGGATCGGGGTGGTTCATTGGGTGGATCGTCCCATTCCTGTTGTTCGTCCCTCTTTGAGGCATTCCCACGCTTTGATGTTCCAATGTGCCTGCCGCGACCCAACCTTGTCAAGCTGGACACGGTACGGATGACACAGTACAATGACGTGAACGACAGTTTCACCCGGGGAAGCCGTTTCGAAGATGGCGATGCTCTTGTGAGGTTGAAACAAGTTAGACTTCTCAAGGCCGCGTCAGGTTGGGTAACAGTCTTGCAGGAACAATGACAAACAAAGCAAGCGTTCAGTCTTCAATTGGTTATTTCTTTTGAGTAAGTACATTGCTGGATTCCGCTTCGTGATTCGACCGGCCCGTCATTTAGAACTAGGGCTCAAGATGAAATAACCTTGCTGATCGGAACTGGGACCATTTTCTGTCAGCGACAAAATAACATTGGGATCACACGCGGAAACCTCGTCATGCCGCGCTTGAAACTGGCGCGAAATGCGTTCTCTGCTCACGAGCAACCAACAGCCTATATGACTGTGGAAAATTTTCTATCCACCAAATATCGTAGCCGATATGTTGACTTGCGAGTAGTCTATCGCTTACCACCTTGTTGGGCCGCTTGATCTCCCAAATCGCGGAAAGATCAACGTCTGACTTTGCCAAACTGATGAGACTCACGGATCACCAGCGCATGGCAACCCCACCAACATGGATCCTTTTACGCCTGATTGACGACTCTTGCCACGCGTTTGACAGCTCAGAAAATCATACCAGTCTATCGTCGCTTCACATGCAGCTTCGAGTCATTGCTTAGCATAGCTCTAAACCCATCTCAGTCACCTCGTTTCTACGTCTTCAATGGCCTAGAACATAAGCCTTTATTCGGGCGAAGATCCATTAGGACAAGGTACGTACATCCTACCCGCGATAGGCTGCACACGTGGTCAGTATTTTGTTTCGCACGTCTCCTGCGTCTTGCACGACTCAAGCTTTAGACTCGGGCGTGAATATGGAAATGTATAAGCACTCGTAGATCCATTTCCTTACACTACGCGAACGTGATGTACGACTGTCCAACATTGCGCAAACTGCGCAAACTGCGCGAATACACCGTACACATCGATCTGCTCATGATTCAGTTTCGGACCTCGTTCCCGAGTTCTCTGCGCTTTTCACCAATGACCGTGATTTCAGCTTTGGCTTTGGTTGTTCGTATTCCTTCTCCTGCGGGTGGAGGACCAGACATCAATGCTACATTAGGGCTTGCTTGCCTCAAAATACTCACGTCTAATTTGATGTAGGGCAAACGAGGCTTTAGCGAAGTCCGCTTCTCACACAACCAGCCTTGCGATACTTCATTAACTCCCACAGTGAACTCAATCGGAACCAGCCGGGCCTTGTTTCTCTTAATCCTCTTACAGGCCATTGATCTGTTCCTGAATTGTATCCTGGGCAATGATAAGCGCCCCCTCTCCACTCGTTGACCAACTATGATCTCTTCGCTTCGTTTGAACAACGCCACCCTTCCAGGGATGTCACTCCATCAATTAAACGGAGACTGCATTGTCAACGGCCTGATGGTGCTTCATGCTTGATGAAAAGTCAAATTATCTGGCAACCCGGTCAAGGATTTCCGAATACCCATGCAGTCGTGGGCCTTCTTCCTTGTCAATCTTCATCGAGAAGCTTGATGATTCTCTGCTACTTTTTTTCAGGAACGATCATCTCATGGCAAAGTCATGCCCTCGTTTCTCCCGTCCTCATGATGCACGCAAATTGTTTGACATCTAGGAGCAGTCGCATATGGTTGCGTGTTCTGCTGGCATTGCAGGTCGTGAGCACTTACGTCCCGTAAGGATTTAACAAGCGATCTTTTATATTTTCTATTGTAGCTGACTCAGTTCACATTTTCCACCCTTACCCTCTTCCTTCTTCGTATGCTTCGGTCTAAACTATATTTTTATTCTCGGCGCAATTCTGGAAAATTGTAAGAATTGCTTAAACATAAACCCGTTTAAGTTTGCTGAAAGTTCCTTTTAGAACCCCAAAGTTATAAGCTAAGTTATTTGACGTGTTTGTTCTCTTCAAGCTGTCAAACAGGAACCATGGACCTATATGATAACCGTTCTGCTTCGGTGAAAGCCGTGGCATACTTGTTCATTGCGCTTGCTTGGTTCACATTTCCCTTACGAATTTGGGTTCGAGGCAAGATGTTAAAGTCTCTTGGAATTGATGATATTCTAACCACAATTACACTGGTAAGCTCAAGGTTATCGTTTCGATGACTTAGACTTGAAGGTACTCAGACTCTAGGATAGGCCATTTTCACTGTCTTTATAGCTTGGGTCCTCTACGCTGCAGAGTACGGGACTGGAAGACATAATGCAAGTCTTATGCCAGAAGAATTGGTAAAAGCACTGAAAGTGAGTATTATATTATCATGCGGAATCGTCCTTAAGCTAAATATGGAAGGGCTGGTGGTACGCCGAAACGTTCTATATTCTATCTTGCTTCTTCTTGAAGATCGCGTTTGGTTCTTTTTTGTTGAGGGTGGCTAAGGAAAAGCTTCATCGCGGTGTCGTAAGTACCCTATTCTCCACAAGAAATATATGCTAAGTATTCAAAATAGATATGGGTTCTTATCGCAACCAACATTGTTTTCTACGTCTTCTACTTTTTCCAGTCGATCTTCCAGTGTTACCCTATAGATCAATATTGGAACAGAGTCAGCCCCATATCAAAGGGCTCTTGTCACAACCCGAATTTCACGGCAGATAGCACTTATGCGCAAAGCGCCCTAAGCATCGTTACCGACTTTACGTACGCGACTCTTCCAATCTTTATAGTGCGTAAGTTGCACATGACTCGCTACAAACGCATAAGCTTGAGCTTTGTCCTTGGTCTTGGAGCGATCGCAAGCATTGCCGTCATCATACGAATTCCATACGTAGTCACCCTTGCCACCTCAGAAGATTTTCTCTGGCAAACGACGGACGTGGTCATCTGGTCCTGCGTGGAACCTGGTCTCGGTATTACCATTCTTAACCTTGCTGTAATACGTCCGTTGCTTCGCATGGTTTCTTCACAATTCGAAGACATTACTAGTTCCGCAAAATCTCGAAAGCAAGGCTATACCTCAGGAGTATCCAATTATCGTAAAGCCTCAACGTACGGCACCAGCACTACCATAACCAACAATGATAACCCACGGTGTAGCGATGTGAAGTGCACCTGTAGCTGTCACGATCCTTGCTTTTACGGTAAGGATGTCCAACAGGCGGATATTGAACACGATCTTGCACTCACTCCCGTTTCGCCAAAGGCAGCGCACATGAAGACAGATGATGCCGGTATCCGCAGGACAACAGAGATATTTTCCTCAAGCGAGCCACGAACTGACGATAAATATCTACAAGACTCACCAAATACAAAATATGGAATCGCAGAGGGGGAAGGAGACAAAACTTGTTTGGTCAAGCCAATGATAGGCAGGGAAAGCTATCAAGGCATCCATGAGAGCGTTTTGCGACGAGCCATCTAGCTCTGAAGAATATCTTCATGAAGACGACAAAGTTGATGTCTAAAAGCTATGCTAAACCAGAAGAAGGGCTTGTAGTGTTATTTTGAGATACTTTAGTCAAAGTATTTCATACTCTGAATATGCCCTGCCTTTGTTCGCCAAATATTACGAAAACAAACATTGTGTTACTGATTGTCAGCTGATACTTAAGGCTAACTCCCATGGTACGCAACATTCGTTTTAACAGAAATATACGTCTGCAAAGAAGCAACAAGTGCAATTCTTCTAAAGCTAGATCAGCTTTGACTGATAACTGAAACTTGGATGGAAGGATCTTGCAACGCCATTGTAAATACCTCAGCGGAATGAAGAATCAAAATCTTTTGTATTGGTCCTGTTTCATATGCAGCCTCTTTTATTTGCTAATCCAGCCTCGCTTCAGGCGCCAGTTGGAAAAGTTCCTGGGTGGAGTACCCTTCGGATTTAGGACGTTAAATATCAAAGCCATTCCTAAGAGTAATAAGGAAAGAATGAGGTCCGGACTCATCATGCTGGAGACATTAAGTGTCACAGAGCCACTAGAATATGTATGGCCAATGTTCCTACAGTGAAGCAGCATGTTGGAAGCCGATATTCTTGTTACAGGTCGCAGCATGTCGCAAGTCACGTGAGTCTGACTCAGCAGATATTCTAGCTTATCTATAAGTTGCTTCAGGATTGAAACCTAACAACTAACAATCCAATCCATCATATAATCTATGCTACCGTTTGCACCATAATCACTTCCTTTTTCCTTCTTGTACGCTGCATAACGGCGATTCCTTTGCATGGCTTAGCTTAGCTAGGCACCCACATGCAACACAGCACGAGAATCACGTGACTAATCATGATATCATATTATTTTATTTTCTTTTTGGAGTTTATTAGAGAAAGCTAGTTTGACAAATCAGTAATATAGGAATTGGTAATAGTGATTTTGGAGGATCACTGTGATTACCAGCTTTCCTTTACATAGAAAAGAATGACTTCTGTCGTTTTTACGCTCAGTGTAGTTAAATTGTCTGGTATATCTGGTTTGTTAGTTCATGTTACTTTCTCTACCTAAAGCCAAACTATCCCAAGCTCTGAAACTATTCTTACTGTAACGGTTTTAGGCTGACCGCCACTTCAGGGGGTAGGACACTCGATGTCAAGGCCTTCCTGAGGGTGAGAAAATCAAGAGGGAGAGAGAAGCCTCCTACAGATGGGAACTGTAAAGAAGCTTAGAAGTAGGATAAGATAGTTAGGATAAGGGTATAAAAGAAGATAGAGTAAATAGGGAAGATTAGAGTAAAGATAAAGCAAAGCAAAGCAAGGCAAAGCAGGGCAAAGCAAAGCGAAGTTCTGTACGAGGCAAAGCAAAGCTGGTTTCTGTTTTCTTGTTCTTGTCTGAAGCTGTTGTTTTTTTTTTTCCTTTTATCTTTCCTTATCCTTCTCTTCTTATATATCCTTGCCATATCATATGACATCTAAGACCCTTGCTCCTCTGTCACGTGATGCCCTTCAGAGTATGAACCATTTTCCCCAGTACATTACCTTATTGATCTTCCTTTTCCTTCATAAGCTCTGAGAATACCATTGCCCTATTGCTCTTGGAGGTTCATCCCTTGCGAAGTAGCTTGCGTTAGTAAAGCTAATCGGTATTGGAAAGGTATTCCTAACAATTCTATGCAGAAGTGTGTGCACTAGCTAAAAAGCTATCACCATAGGTGATAGATGATAGCCACAAGCCCCTACTGCCTCTATCACTGTAGCCCATTCACGATCGCCTTTGCGTACGAGTTATCCCACATGATGTACTCGCAAATCTCTATTACAAAGACTGTCTTATCAAAGTTGTAGATATCGTTATTAACAATGCCGTATTTCATGATCGTATTGCGGACAAATGTGAACCATTGTTGGATAAATTCAGGATCTTTGCATAAAGCACGCTGGTAATTTTATTTACGGTTACATTGTTATTTGAGCTCTGGTTGGCAGTTGAGGAATCTTTAAGGCCAGTTTTTGCCAACATGTTTACTGGGTCCGCATTCCTTCTGCAGCAATAGATTGGCTGCTGATCGCAGATTTGATGGTGACAATTAGTAACCTTGACCTGCAATGCTATATAACTATGCTCTTAGGGTCTCCTCTTCGGTTATTGTAAGTTTGAGGCAAACAGGTCGGCAATCACGCCCGACGCTGGCCGTGAATACGATTGCATAAGGTAATTCCAGGCACGTCATAAAGTCGTGCAGTAGCTCGATTTGTTAGTCCTGATTGAGAATTGATTGCTTGAATTGCCAATAAAAGTTTCTCCTCATTCTGAGCTGTTTTGGACATATTGTGTTATAATGATAAATTTCCGCAGTTATGCGCGACCTGCAATTGTTGGCGTGCGCGACTTGGTGGTATACGACTTCGTGGTGAATGACGTTAAATTATTTTATCTCGCATGATGAGATTTACGAGGATGTCGATGTAAACTTACACCAGGTTCAGGTGTAAATTAACTTACCATACTTGTAGGATGAAAATACGCCAGTCATGATGTCTGTAACTTAGTTCTACGGATCGAATCAAAACTCTTCAGTTTTCGGTTGTGGCGCTAAACCCTTTCTGCTGATTTGGTTAGGAAACTTTATACTCAACTCAATTTTAACTACGCTCATTTTTTGCAACTCCAACAATATGTATCGCGGGGAGTTGCCTGGATTCTACTGGGGTAAGATACAAAGCGATGCTAAGATTACCGAAATAGCTAATACATATGTCGACAACAGATGAAAACAAGGCTAAATACTTTCGAGTGCAAGAAAACCATTATGCTGGGGCTTCTTCAAAGTCAGCATACACGAAAGCTAAAGTAGAGGAACTAGAGAAAGAAAACAAAGTAAGCAGAAGATTTCTTATTTCGATGTGGTTAATACATCATAAATATACATTATTGCATACTTTCGCTCATTTTTGGCTCATTGCCTTTCTAGAAACGCAAACGCCAGGAAACTTTGCAGAAGCAACGAAAGCGGCATCTTGTGCAACGTGCGTCTCCTTTGGTGACGCCTCGAGCCAGCTATATAGGCTTGCACGCAGAAGCTGGCCAACGAGCGAGCATCTCTCGCATCCTCCAGGACGGTGCAGAGGCATTTGCTCGGTCTCTGGACTCAAAAGTACTGCTTGACCTTGAAGATCCAGGCTCCGCTAGGAACCTATACGTAGATTACAGATCCGATTTTCATATCTCCCACTTTGACTATGACCCGGCTACACGAGGGATGGTGCTGGGCATGAGCCCAAACAACGATTTCAACTACGATTCCGTAGTTTCTGTACTCCCAGAATGCTTTCCAGCGACAAAATCGAATGACGACGTAGAATATGGTCCTGAGAACCCTGTATACACGTGGTCTGCGGTTCGCCCCGTTTCGGTCTTTCAGTCCCCCCTCTCGAGCATAAACATCAATCCCAAGACTCGCACATTTGTTACAGCCAGTACAGGCGACCGCCAACCACCCACTGTTCAGATAAGCCAGCTTGTTTCGCCTGAGTCTGCTGCGCCCAGCCAGCCCCTTGATAGCGGTATTTCCTCTCTCTTCCGGCCGCCGAATCTAACCACCATATTTTGCACCGCAATCAACCCTTGGCTAAGCCCCGACAAAGAGGAGCACATAGCCGTCGGCTCTGGCGGCGGAAGTGGTGTGAATTTCTTTGGCGCGTGGGTCGATTCCGGGATGAGGAGCCAAAATTGGCGACCACTGCCTGCTATGAAAACCTACTCCGACGTCCTAGCCTTAGATTGGCTTGGTCCGAATCTCCTCGCTGCGGGGCTAAGAGATGCAAGTGTAATGCTGTATGATATTCGTGCACAGCAGGGCATCAAGCGCATGAGGCACCACGGAGGGGTGGTAGGTCTCAAACGCGCAGACGTTGATGAACGTTTCGTGGTGGCTGGCATGGAGTCTATGATGGCTCTGTATGACTTACGTGCCCTTCGAACCATTGACGCAGGGAATTTGACTGGCTGGTCAAGCGCCGACAAAAGGACTGCTAAAGCAAAGACTAGATCACTTGGCTTCTATAGGAAGCAGCTGTCTATTATGGAGACGGAGGCCATGCGGATCGCCAGACCTATTTGCATGTTCGAGTATCAGAACGATTATGATATGTTGGGTATGGATGTCAGCTCGGACTTAGGTATTGTAGCTGCGGCTGAAGAGGGAGGTTTTTTGAGATTAAGCAACTTGAGAAATGCAGCAACGATCAAGAGGTGGAAGGTTAGCCGCAAACAGGACGAGAAGATACGATGTGTAAGGTTTGTGGAAGACGAGAGAGGCGTGCCAAAGGTGGTGGTAAGCTGTGGTGCGCGGATCGCAGAATTTTCTTGGTAATGCAAAAGTCAAGACAAGGATCATGATTACGACGCTGCTGATAACGATGGAAGAAAGAAGGATGCAATGAAACTGAAATAAGGTGCAGGTTGTCAGTCCAAGGTTAGGACTTGCACGAGTGCTATTGCAGAGCGTCTAAGGACGCTTTGAGCTTGAGAAGCTCGAGCCTGTAGAAAGTATACAAGCTCCTTGTGCATCGAAAGGCCAAGCATGTTCAATGGCTTTAATGAAGCCATTTTCAAGACACATATTGACTGCAGTAAACCAGCCACTGGCGGATCTTTCCGTTGGGCATCAAGCCAAACGATAAAAAGCAGCAAAAGCCAACAGGTCGTAGAACCGAATATCACCGCCTAGTAGAAGCTTTCCACCATGGCTTCCTTGTTCTTGCCTCCGATATCACCTGGTGCATTGCCCTCTCCTAACCTGAATACCGACTCAACGACAGAAACCTCCGTGGCCGTGGTGTCTGCTCCACAAACTGCCATCCAGTCGTTTACAACCATACCAGCGCCGACAACGGGCGAACCTCTATTGACCGAGCCAGCGACGAGCGGTACCTGTAACAGGCTCGAGAGCTCGTCCTGATCTGATATGGGTGTTTTGGGATGTACGAGGCCTCCTACATTAGACAGCGACATATATGATCCGACCAAGACATTTGACGCGATGGTCTGCCTAAAAACTTCGACCCCTAACACGTCCGCGATTATCTCTTCCGTCTCTCGGGAAAGATCCGGATGTATGAGCGCGACGTGATCGTTTGCGCAAATCACGTTGCCCAGAGCTGAAAGCCGCTCTTCGATCCGTTGGATTTTAACTTCGTCTGGAAGTGAGTTCCGCAGGTGTTGCAGTTCCTGATCTGTAGTCGTAGTGGGAACAAGGAGTCCCTTCTTGTTGCCGGCGGTGAGACGGCCGATGATTCGCGAGCCGGCAATTGAGGTGTGCACTATTGGTATGACGTCTTGAAGTTCGGATTCGAAGATGGAGTAGAAGTTCGTGGAGGCGCCCTGCGCGACAAGGGCATAGCTGTTTGTGAGAGTGGCGAAAACGCCGATTCTGCAACTTGGTGTTAGCAAACCGCTCGAAGCGGAAATCCACATGGCACTGGTTTGAGGAGGCAGACTGACTCGTTTGAGTTCTCGAATTGTGCGCGGACAGCCATGATTGTATTATATGAACGCGGTTTGTTCTATTGGGAGGTGGAAAGGATGAGGGCGGGGTCGGAACTGGTTTGTGAGCGCTAGAACTACGGCTAGCAGGCGTAGCGCAAACTCCTTCTGAAAGGTTGGGCGAAGTCGAAAGGGCACGAGGTTGCTCTTGTTTATGATCTCGTTCAGAATCTGGCACACGCGCAAACTTTATGTTCGCAATCTGCAGTTTTCAGCAGGCCATGACGAAGTGGGGCTCAGATTTTCCCCTTCGTTTTGCGGGCTGTGGCGCGGCCAAACCAAAAAATTTAGAAGCACAGACATCCGGGTGACTCACCTAGTTTTCCGCTTAGCACTTGTACGTTGTAGGCGGACAAATCAAGGGAGCGCCTCTGGAATACGAGATGACTGCGTCGGTGGTTCAGACGTATCGCAGTGCGTGGTGCATCATATGGCTTTGTGATGACCCAGAATGATTCACCGTGGGTAATTCTGAAAATGACCTCGACGTACACGACGTTGAGTAGGGTAGAATGCGTGCTTCGTGCCTGGCTTAGAATCAGCGTTCCGCCATTCTCCCAGTCTTAAAGAAAGCACCATGGCCCCATTTGAGCATGGGAACAAGGAACAGGTACTGCAATAAGACCAAGTTCACCGAGTCTAACCCATAAGGCCGATCTGTATCCACAACTCAGGAGCTCCTAGTTTTGCTTTGTGTTTGATAAGCGATGCATCTACGCGGGGGAAAAGAATATATCAGTAATATCTCTGCAATCAAAACTCATGGTTTCCAAAGTTATTGGGGCTGAAGGGGAGATTTCAAATAAAATCATGGATCATCCACTCTGGTCGAGGCTGGCCATATGTGTCCATAGTGTAGTATGAATGTGGTAATTGGCGTGGCTGCAGCGTGCTACCGATTTCCGTCGAAATGCTTGCGCCTGAAAAGAGAGTCGAGGATTTCGAAGGAATCAAGAGGGCAGCATAACGGGGTAGACATGTCTTCGGCTTTGTTGAAGTGCAAATCACGTCTTGATCAGATTTGTACCTCGTTCGGCGCGTCCATCATGTAGTGGATCACACTCGCAAGCCGAGAGGTCTCCAGGCAGATGTGGAAAGTACCTTCAGAAATACCATTTCATCTGTATTCATCAATTTTGAAATTGGAAATCGAAGAATGTCATTTTGTTTTTTTTAATCGTCACCATACTTCTGTCAGCGCAGATCTAAAGCTGACACATTAGAGGGAATAGGCTAGAAGTCACTGCATTATCACATCGAACATCAAGATCGTTATATACAAACTCAGGCCCTTCTAGGAGATACATGTAAATATCACCTAGTGACATATTCAATAACTACCTGCTGCCATGGCTTTCTCCCTGAACTCCCTGAAATCTGCCGCTCTATCTCCATCCTTTCTGCCTCTGCCCCCTTGCCTAGCCTCCCATTCTTCCTCCTCAGCCGCGATCAAGCTATGGAACTGCCCTTGTTGGCCCCTAGCTAAGTAAATTGGAGCGACTTTACGTTGAGCGACGGCCTCCGTGATGAGAATATGTTTCGTTGCTGATCCAGGAGCTTCAAACATTGCCTCGCCTAGAAGACGCTCTAGAACAGTCTTGAGACCGCGAGCACCAGTGCCCATTACAGACGCATCTTTAGCGATGGCGCGTAAGGCTGCAGAAGTGAAACGCAACTCAATCCCCGACAGGCTGAAGAGTTGCTCATACTGTTTCAAAAGTGCATTTCGTGGTTCGGTAAGAACACGAACTAGAGCTTCTTCGTTCAAGGAGGACAGTGCGCATGAAATTGGTATGCGGCCCACCAGCTCAGGTATCATGCCGTATTTCTGAAGATCGGCTGGCTCGACGAGATCAAGAGTGTTAAACTCACTCTCTCCGCTGTCAGCAGTTGATGGATTGGTTGGTGTGAAGAAGAAGGGGAGATGCTTGCGGAACAATTCCTCGTTATCTTTACTAGGCTTTAAAGAAGTGTTGTGCGCGCCTGAATCAGAATCTGGGTTTGCAGCTCGCACGTGTGCACCGAACCCGATACTTCCGCGCGATATCCGGTCTAATATCAACTTGTGTAAGCCAACGAAGGCACCTGTGCAGATGAAGAGAATGTTGTCTGTCCGGACGTTGTACACTTCATTTTTGCCCCCAGGCGTCGGAGGGGACTGTCCACCGCCCAGCGGACTGCTAGAACCGTTGTGCTGCCAATTTGGGGGTTGCATGTGCCCGTGGTGTCGGCCTGGAGCCGAACGCTCAGATTTTGCTTGGACCTGAACGGTAGTTCCTTCTATGATCTTGAGGAGCGCTTGCTGAACACCTTCACCGCTGACATCCTTGCCGTGAGATACTTTAGCCGTAGCGATCTTGTCTATCTCATCCAAACAAACAATCCCTTGTTCCGCTTTGGCAACGTCGTAATTCGACGCTGCCAACAGCCTCTGAATGACGACCTCTACATCTTCTCCGATATATCCTGCTTGGGTCAATGGTGTGCAATCGGACATACTGAATGGCACCTCGAGCACTCGAGCTAACGTCTTCGCCATAAGGGTTTTGCCCACTCCAGAGGGCCCCAGTAATAGCACATTACTCTTCTCGATGGTAAGCGGTGAATAATCTTGTAAGGGAGGTGGAGGGGGCATCGGCGACTGCGGCTGGTGGCCTGAGGGATGTACATGAACCGTCGACTGCTGCCCGGGAAACTCGTCTGACTCAAGGGTCAGCACACCATTATCTGTGCTCGACACGACTTCGGTGCTACGCCGTATCTGCTGCTGGGAAGGAAATGAAGAGACAGAAAAGCTCGAATGAAGTGAAGAGGAAGGGTTTACTGCTATGGAAGGAGCGTCTCGGGTACTACCTTCGACGGGGTGCCTATTGGCATTGTGCATCTCTCTCCTCGCATGTTGCGCCATGAGTTCCTGTACCTCCTCGTCCTGCCGCCGCAACTCCTGAATACGTTGGTAGTGGTTGTATACTGCAGTACTGAGCACCTTCTTTGCGCGCTCTTGGCCCACAACGAACTGGTCGAGATGCTCCTTCAGCATCTTAGGAGTTATCCTCGGAGCACCGAGCATGCTGGCTGCTCCGAGGGGCCCGCTGGTAGGCTGTCCCGGCTCGTATATTCCAGTGAATGGTTGTGAGCCGAAGTCCGAGCGGCTGAATTGGCCGGAATTACATGACGGAGGAGACGAGCTGAAGTGGCGTTGGCATTGAGAATAGAGGACAACATTGGACCTGCGGGACAGCGATAAGACAGACAACGAAACAAGGGCCGGTGCCCGCGATCTTGGAGCGTGCATGACGGCACGAATCTACAACTCGTTGTAAGTCTGGTTGAATCAATCTTGCATGCGGCTTTTGGCCTCAGTTGAGCTGGCACATGGGAGTCATGCCACTATCCTGGCCGCAATAGGCGCATCGGGCGGGGTTGGTGAGCGGCGTGCGCAGGCGTGGCGACAGGATTGTTGGTCGGGAGCTTAGAGGAGCTTCCAAGAATGCGCTGGTAGTTGGCCAACAGTAGGAGAAGATGGAGCAACAAAGGGATATGGTTGGGATAGGACAGGTGAGGGAAAGATGGTATCACTGGTGGGTTGTCGTTGCGGCTCTCGGACGAGCAGGCCGGGCGGCCAGCCCCTCTGTCAACTTAGCGCAGCCCGACTCGGTGACGGACTGCAAGTGCACGCAGGATGGCAGCGCCCCAGCTTGCCCGGAGAGTGCCGCTGCTCTGTAGGGGCGCGGGCCCCCAAGCAAGTGCCGATCTAGGCCGCTTCCGGTCTGGCGGCGCCGTTGGTATGACGTCCCGCAGTCAACATTTCGACAGTTCGCCGCTGGCTTGTCCCCAGCATGTACGACCATCTCCCCACGACCTGCGGGGAACAGTAACCTTCTCGCCAGCCACTTCGTTGCAGTCCATATAACCTGAATTGAAGCCGCATTTCTTCGACATCAATCAAGTTTTGCACCTCACCCTCGAAACAGCGCAGTTCACACTCAGCCTTGACGATTGGTTGGGATACACACCCTCAGCCGAGAAAATATGGCTGCCCAGATGGAGGTCAGCCAGGCCTCTGATAACACCGTAATGGGCAAACCCGCCGGTGATCTCCCAAATGATGGCACCGGTACGCCATTGACGCTTTTGCCGTCGTCGGGCACCTTTTGTTAACTCATATACTGTAGGAGTCCTGAAGATCGATCCCTGGCTGGAGCCGTTCAAGGCTGAGCTGAGATCCCGCTTCAGCAAAGCACAAGACTGGATTAAACGCATAAATGACACAGAAGGGGGGCTGGAGAAGTTCAGTAGGGTAAGCTTCATCACGACCGCTGTCGTCTTGTGGACGCTCATCGTTGCTAGGGATATGAGGTACTCGGCTTCAATGTGCAGCCGAACAACGACATCGTGTATCGAGAGTGGGCGCCTAATGCTCTCAGAGCGTATCTCATTGGAGATTTCAGTAGGAAAACAGGGCAACTTTGCAGAACTTTGCAAGCTAATGCACGGTTTAGATGGCTGGAATCGCGATTCCCACGAGATGAAAAAGAACCAGTTCGGCGTATTCGAACTCACCATACCAGCGGTGAACGGCCAGCCAGCCATGGCACACGATTCTAAGATCAAGGCAAAGTCTCCCTTCCTTCACAAGTTTGTCCTCTATCACTAACATCTAAGTCTGCAGATCTCCCTCGTCGTTCCCAACGAACAGGCCCGACAAGAGCGCATCCCGGCATGGATTACGCGCGTCACTCAAGACCTTTCTGTCTCCCCTGTCTACGACGCCCGATTTTGGAACCCCCCGAAAAATGAAAAATATGTATTCAAGAATAAAAGACCGCCAAAGCCTGCTAGCGCCCGAATTTATGAGGCACATGTCGGTATCTCGTCGCCCGAGCCTAGAGTCGCTACGTATAAAGAGTTCACGCGCAACATGCTGCCACGCATCAAGAATCTAGGGTACAACGTCATCCAGTTGATGGCGATCATGGAACATGCGTATTACGCAAGCTTCGGATACCAAATCAACAGTTTCTTCGCGGCAAGCAGCCGGTATGGATTGCCTGAAGATTTGAAGGAGCTGATTGATACAGCTCATGGTATGGGTATTGTAGTATTGCTCGACGTGGTACATAGTCACGCGTCGAAAAACGTGCTTGATGGGCTGAACATGTTCGACGGTAGTGACCACCAGTACTTTCATGAAGGGGGTAAAGGAAGGCATGACCTATGGGATAGCAGACTCTTCAACTATGGACATCACGAAGTCATGCGGTTTTTGCTAAGCAATCTAAGGTTCTGGATGGAGGAGTATCAATTTGATGGGTTCCGATTTGACGGAGTGACAAGCATGATGTATACGCACCATGGAATCGGAACGTGAGTAGATTCTATGGTTCTCAAAAGAATATGGCTAACACGACAAAGAGGATTCTCTGGAGGGTACCATGAATATTTTGGCCCAAATGTTGATGAGGAAGGCGTCGTCTATTTGATGGTCGCCAATGAAATGCTTCACAATCTCTATCCGTCCTGTATAACTATTGCCGAGGACGTATCCGGAATGCCCGCCCTCTGTCTCCCCCTCTCTCTCGGTGGTATTGGTTTTGACTATCGCCTCGCAATGGCTATTCCCGACCTGTACATCAAATGGCTCAAAGAAAAACAAGACATTGATTGGGATATGGGCAACCTGTGCTTCACTTTGGAAAATCGCAGGTATGGCGAAAAAACAATTGCATACGCAGAATCTCACGATCAAGCTCTTGTCGGCGACAAGACGCTACTTATGTGGTTGTGCGACGCAGAAATGTACACCAACATGAGCGTTTTAACCCCCGAGACACCAGTCATTGCACGAGGTATTGCGCTTCACAAGCTCATCCGGCTGATTACCCATGGACTTGGTGGTGAAGGCTGGCTCAACTTCGAGGGCAATGAGTTTGGTCACCCCGAGTGGTTGGACTTCCCACGTGAAGGAAACAACAATTCTTTCCATTACGCTCGACGGCAATTCAACCTCGTGGATGACCATCTGCTAAGATACCGCTTCCTCAACGATTTCGACGCCAAAATGCAATGGACAGAGGAGAAATATGGATGGCTACACAGTCCTCCGGCGTACGTCTCGCTGAAACACGAGGGAGACAAAGTCATTGTCTTTGAGCGTGCAGGACTGCTCTGGATCTTCAACTTCCACCCCACCAACAGCTTCACCGATTACAGAGTTGGTGTAGAGAAGGAAGGCACCTATCGCATCGTCATCAACACGGATTCGCCTGCGTTCGGGGGACATGATAATATCAAGGACGACACCCGGTTTTTCACCACTCCATTTGCTTGGAATGGGCGAAAGAACTTTTTACAGGTCTACATTCCGACCAGAACCGCAATGGTCCTGGCGTTGGAAGAAACGTTGTAAGCGACCTTACAGTGACGGCTTGACGGCATTAAAATCATGTATGCGAGCGATTGAAGAGAAGATTTAGGTATTGTAATACTGATATCAGATTTGCCGGATTAAGCACGTTTAGAGAAATGGCGGTTTTGGACTTAGGAAAGGCAAGATATATCAACATGGTTAAAAATGAAATTAGCCCACACGTATTTACACGTCTTTAGTTCTTAATGAAAAGATTGATCTTTTCCATTTTTCAAGTATCAGAGCAGTACTTTCGCAAATTTTACAAAAGACCGAGTAGACTTGATTGGACCTTTGTCGATGAGTGAGGTCGTGCTTATTTATATCTTTATTAGAATTACAGGTTATGCACTGAACTGCAGCTAAAGGCATAGCTTAGAAATTCTGTGGCCTTTGATTCTCGCATGCAAATGCATGGCTCACGGGAGTTTATTCTTGGGAAAAGACACTGCTACTCAGAGAACATGACCACACAGCGAAGAAAAAAGATTACGCCAATGACAGCCTCAAATCGAGGAGCCCTTATTGGAAATTCTGGAGGCCCATGTGCCGACATTCACGCTATCGTGATAGTGACATAAACCATTTCGAATACGTAAGCTATCTTGACCAGCAGGAAGGAGACGATGACAACAGGTACCAGGATCACGACACATCGTCGTAAAGCTGGTTTCATTTTTTTTTTTTTGCCTCATCATAAAAGCATCATGTCTACGTGTCGATTAAACACATTTATCCACACGTTCTTCTCCAACCTCGTTCGAAAGAAGGAGGGGATCACAAAGTGTCCATTCGTTATCATAAAAAGTTGGTGGATATCAGCTCTAAGAGGAGACGAGCATGTGAGGCCATCGACGGGCGGCGAAGGGGGTTGGATCCGATGAGTTCTAATCTCGACGTTAATCCTGTACATTGATGATGAGAATAGCTCTTTCGGCGGGAAACGACAAGCCGACAAAAGATTCGAAAGATAAGTTTTGATGATTTCCACTCCGTAATTCTCGACCAGGCTGAAATTGCACACGCGATAGACGCCAAAGCCGCGTAGTCCGTGCTCTGCCTTCTCCAAAGAGCGAACGAAGCTCTGCCATCATCAGCCAACATCAAGTACTGCCCAAGCTAGCTTTCTAGCCCCCGTCACACACAGATTGGATCCTTTCGCTACTTTATAATAACGTGTGCATACCGCCAGCTCTATATCGCACGCCTCCTCTCATCTCTCCTCACCGTCCTTACTCCTTCATTACTAGCTCGCATCTCAAGATGCCTGCTACCACCGCAGAGACTTTGTCGCTCGTGCAACGGACGGTCTCGGTTGCCCCCCTAGTCCTCCTGTCAGTAGCAGATCATTATGGCCGATCAGCGAAAGGGACACGGAAACGTGTGGTGGGCGTGCTGCTAGGGCAGAACGATGGGAAGAATGTGCGCGTGTCCAACAGTTTTGCTGGTACATTGCACACTCGTACAGATGGGATGCCTAAAAGCTGATTGGCAACTGCAGTACCTTTCGAGGAAGATGAGAAGGACCCCTCGGTATGGTTCCTAGATCACAACTACGTCGAGTCGATGAACGACATGTTCAAGAAGGTCAACGCACGCGAGAAGCTGATAGGATGGTATCATTCTGGACCCAAGCTACGAGCATCCGATTTGGAGATCAACGAGTTATTTAAGCGCTATACGCCTAATCCGTTGTTGGTTATCATTGACGTGCAGCCGAAGGAAGTCGGCGTGCCAACAGATGCTTATTTTGCCGTCGAGGAGATCAAAGACGTACGTTGTCCGCGCATTTTCCCCTCTGGTCCATACAGTACATTCCCTTCATTCATACATGGCATGCTAACGGTCCGAACAGGACGGCACCACAACGAGCAAGACTTTTGTGCACACGCCTTCAATAATAGAAGCAGAAGAAGCAGAAGAAATCGGCGTCGAACATCTCCTCCGCGACATCCGCGACGTAGCCGCCGGTACACTCTCCACTCGCATAACTTCCCAGCTCCAGTCGTTGCAAGGCCTGCACCTGCGCTTGCGCGACATTGGCCAGTATTTGCAGAAAGTGATCGACGGCGATCTTCCTGTCAACCACGCCATCCTCGGCAACCTGCAAGATGTCTTTAACCTGCTCCCCAATCTCTCGACGCCCAAGCCCGTGGCGATGAGCGGTGCACAGACAAACGGCGTGGCAGACCACGGGAGTCTGGCGGGCGACAACTCAGAGCTCGCACGCGCAATGAGTGTGAAGACGAACGATCAGCTGATGGCGATTTACCTGAGCTCCCTTATCAGGGCCATTACGGCCTTCCATGACTTGATCGAGAACAAAATACAGAATCGGCAGGCGCAGGAGGAGAAGGATGGGAAGACGGAAAGCAACGGGGAAAAGAAGGAGGAGGAGAAGGCGGCTGGCGACGGAACGAAGTCACCGAGCGCTTCTAACGGAGAGGCCAAAGAGAGCAAAGGCGGCAAAGAAGGTGAGAAGAAGGAGGGCAAGAAAAAGTCGTAGTGGAGAGGAAAAGAAATGAATATGTGACGGGACTGGGAGGTAATGATCTTGAGGAACCGACAAGAGTATGTTTTCTGGCGGGTAGACGCATATGCATTGCATTTCAAAGGAGCTTATGGGCTGCAAGGCGCCAATTCATGTAGGATGTCTCTAGTGGGGCTAGCTAGATAGGACAAGGACAAAGCAAATGCAGAGAGCATCGCCACCACCAACGCGAGCATGTCCCGACTGGCTGCTTTGATCAGCTGGCTCATCCGCTTCCCCACCCGGCACACCAGCCGGCGAACTCGTCTCTGTCCATCAGCCTGTCTTCCACGCCGCCGCCAAACAATTGGGGACACCGATCAGCCAGGACGCAGGCGAGGATATGCTTACAGACTGGCACGTCCGCTTCGGCGCGGCAAGCGCCTCCGAAGCTTCCGTCGTTGTGAGCGGGAGCGGCGGAAGCAGCAGCAGCAGTCGATGTGTTTGTGGTGATAGTGGTAGTAGTAGTAGTAGTGGTGGTGGTGGTGGTGGTGTTGGTGGTAGTAGTAGGAGCAGCAGCAGCAGTGGAAGTTGAAAACACATGAGAAGAAAGGATCGCTGGCGAGACGGACGCGGGAAAGGCGCTGAAGGCGAAGGCCGGGCACGAGCAGTTCCAGGGCAGGAGACGCACTTCGTAGCACGTCGCGAGGGGGTTGACGAAGCGGGCGTGCGAGGGCGGCTGCTGCGCGGAGCGCACGAAGTAGACGCCGGTGGCGGCCTCGCCGTCGTCGGCGGCGAGGCGGACGCGCATGACGAGCCTGCGGTCCAGCACGTCGAGCGCGGGCAGGAACTCGTTGGGGTACAGCACGTGCAGGGTCAGCAGGAGGGACCTGAGGGCAGGAGAGGCGTCCTTGAGCGGGTTCGACGAGGCCGACGGCGCGGACGGAGCGGGCTGGGCAGAGATGGCGTCCAGCAGCGAGGTCACGACGGCGCGCGGGGTGGGCAGCGACGACGATGGCATTGCGCGAGGCGCGCGTGTATCATAGCTCGATTCTGTCCGGAGTCGCGTCAACGGTCCTGTTCTTCCTTCGAGTGGACGTCCGATCGTCCTCGTCCGGTGACGGCAGGGCGACACAGATCGGTTACTCGGGGCAGTTCCGGGCGCGACGTTGAAGATGACGGGCGCCTGCACGCGACGCGGTGGCCGGCTCTGTAGCTCTCTGATTTCTTCGCTATATTGCGCGAAGCGAAAAACCCATGAGACCAAGGACGTGCATGTCCCGGCGGACAAGACACATGTTCGCAGCGAGATTCAGAGCCCAAGCAAATGTAGGACGCGTCTTGGCGCATTTCTATAAAAGTAGCCAATCGGCCTGTAAGAGGCGTTGTATCAGCACGCAGGTAGAATCTATAACGGTGACCATTTGCGCAGGAAACGCGCCGTATGCGGTAGACGACGTTCAATGGCTCGCTGTCGCACCTGTTCGCGCTGTTATGACCGCCGTTGGTGTGAGCGATTTTTCTGTGCTGACGCGCAAAGGCTAGCCAGCCCTTTGGACCTGCTAGGAGCGGCTAGCATCGCATCCAAAGGACGGACGAGGACGAGACTGGACAGAAACCAACACCAACGAAACAAAGGGGCGGTACGTACCGTCCTTATGCTTTCGCAAGAATTGTACGCGGCAGCAGCGGGAGAAGAGCGTCTAGGTCATCTGGACACTTGGTGTTGTCCTGTGATCCATCCCGCGCTGGAACAGCCCTGGGCACACCGCAACGACTGCGTCCACGACCACGACGAGCTGGCGGGCGCGAAAGAGCAGAATGGCGATTTGGTCTGTCGTTTTCTTCTTGGTCGAAATCGTCGATCGCCGTCCGCCGTTGCCAAATAGGCTTTCGACGCGGCCGTCACGAGAATGCGACAATGGGGAGCAAGTCGTCCGCCGACAACGCTTGTGCTCTGACGTCGAGGACGTTCTACGACTTCGACGTCTTCTTCCGCGCCCCGGCCGACCACACACACCCGCCCAACCCGGCCCCCCCTTCGGCCGCCACGCCCCCTCCACCCCACAACTGAGATCTCGCTCGGGTGTCTGTGTGCTGCGATGCTGAGGCCGACTGCAGCAGCCGTCTACGGCACCCGAATCTCTGCTTCATGCAGGGTCTCAGGGCCACGAAACTCCCGTGCAGCGGCAACGTATGCGAGTAATACTACGTTGCGAAGATCCAGGTGGTGTAAAAAAAAAAAAACAAGAACAGGAACGGGCATGTGAGGTCGACGAGCAGCGTCGTCAGCAGCGTTTGGCGGCGGGTGTCAGACATGGCAGCGGTCGCGCGGCTGCGTAGCCTCAGCTCGTACAGTCAATCACCAGCGTCGCCGACATGGACAAGCAGAGCAACCCCATCCGTGCGCACCCGACACGACGCATCATCGGGGCGGTTCGTATCAACCCATTTTTGGCGGCGGGAAGAGCGGGAGGCCCTTGACTCTCCGTTGAGTCGACCATGGGGTCTCGTGAACATCGGCTCTCACCTCATGCGCGATGCTGGGGCCGTACGTCAGCGCGCAGCAAGTCAGGCGTACAGAGAGTGCGAGAAGCAGGTCGCTTGAGACAGGCACACCGCGCCAGTCACAGCTCTTTGCAGCTTTCTTTCTTTTTTGGCTCTAGGCCTCTTTGTTCACATGCAGCGGTACAGCTGGCGCAACAAAGCGGTTTCGTGTCTGCCGGAAACGGATGCGCGATGGGGCTCGCTTCTCACAAGCACTGTTACGTACCCCACACACGGCACTTCGCAGCTCACCGAAGTGACGGGGAGCCATTGACAGTGGGAGGGGGCAAAGGGAGAGGGGTGCGAGGAAGCACGATAACGCCATTTATCTACGGGGCCGTACAGTACAAGACGTTCAAAATGTACTGGAAGACAGAGGAGGGGCCCCTGGTCACTGATCCATGATTGCGAAGGGGGAGGGGGGGGGGCCAAGAGCAGATGGGGGACAGGTATTTGTACAAGTCGGACTTTACGGAGGCTCGCGCCGGGCGGAGCGTCAGCTCGTACAAGTAGCAAGCAGTCATCCGGACAATCAATTCGCCCAGCTTTAGCGTGCCACCATTCTCGATCAGAGATGCAGACGGTGCATGGTTTGGCATCAGGCGCGACGCATGCCTTCTTGTTCTGGAGCCCCCGGTCAGAAAGTGGCACGGGAGGAACAAGAAAAGGCTGTCTCGCGAGAGCATGACAATTCGGCGCCTCGCTTGCTGCCTGGATTTCGGGGCGCAACAGCAAAGGGCGCCACGTGTTGGTGCGCTGGACCCAATTGATGCCATTGACGGACACGACGGCAGCCGGGGCAAGAGGAGCTGCCTCAATTGAGCGCAGTACAGAAGGTCAATTGCGATTGTTGGGAGGGTGGAGCAGGATTGTCGACGAGCGCGGTGTGGGTGGGATATGTCGGCGGAATGAGAGGGCGATGATGGTTGACGATGATGACGGCCTGGGCATGGAACAGGGTCGAGGAGCCGGGCGGCTGGGTCGCGCTGCGAACGAGTTGGGAAGAGGCGTGCAGGCACCCACGAGAAAGATAGAAGAAGATGAGAGGGGGGTGGAAGGGGGGGGAGTGCGTGCGCAGAAGCACGACGCGCGTGGGAGGCAACGTGAAGGCGAGCGCAAAGGGGAGAGAGGACAGCGTGGAGGGAAGGCGAGCGAGCGAGAGGGAGAGTGTGTTCGTGTGTGGGAGGGTGTGTGTTGTGTGTGTGTGTGTGTGTGTGTGTGTGTGCGAGTTGAGTGAAGGTGTGTGGCGTGCGTGTGTGCACACATGTGATTGAGAGCGAGCAAGAGAGCGTGTGCGCCCTCCAACGGCGCCGAAAGGGTCAAGATGCACGGCGAAGGTGGCGCTGGGCCCAACAACCCTTGTCCGGCGGGTGGTGCCAAAGAGCAAGCCAGGCCCAGGACGAGCTCAGTCACGCCGGCTCGTTGGACGCAGGACTGAGGCCAAGTGCTCAGCGGCAGTCTGCGTCGACAACTGCCAGCAACGGATGATTCACACTCTTTCCAACGCCTTCCAGGGTGCTCGCCAACCACATGGACAGCCCGCGCATCCACCAATGGCGGCCGGCCGAAGCGAGGCAGCTCGCGCCTTCCTGGAGCTCATTTCTAATCTGTTCCAGCGCCTTCCCTGGCCTGAGGCTGCCGGCTGACGAATTGCACGCGGCCAGCCCAGTGCGCGCAGTCGGTTTCGCATCATGCCCAAGCACCGCTGCTGCGAACAAGAAGCGCGCGCCCTCGCTGGACACAGAGGCCGGCATTCCCTTCACTTGCCTCAAACGCATCGTCGCCATCATCATATGAGAGCCGCCCGGCTCTGTGTTTCGTGCCCGTTCCTTTCCCTTCGGTTTCCTTGCGAGCCACTTTCCCAGCCGCATGACTGCGTTGCTCTGCTGCCTGCAACCTTGATTGCCACCCCGCCGGCCGCCCATCTGACCTCACTGTGCTCTCTCTTTCTCCCTCCCTCTTTCTCCAGCGCCGCGCGTGTGTGTGAGTGTGTGTGTGCCCTGTGTCACTGTCCTGCTCGATACGTACCGCCAGCCTTTGTTCCACGTCCCTCCTCCACTTTCGCTGGTCCTCTTTTTTTAACCCACCTGCCCCCCTCCTCCCTCCCTCCCTCCCGCTACTTTCGTGCGACCGTACCGCACTACCGCTCTAGGCCTTCTCGACTCTGGGATCACGCCAATCTGCCGTTGGCGAGCAGACCGCCGCGTTTGTCCGCCGCATCCATACCAGAACCCAGATCCACATCTGCCCAACAACCAGGGCGTCTGCCTACATATAAATCCGCCTGGCCGCGCACTTTCCACTTTTACTCAATCTGCTTCGCCACAGCGCGGGAATCGCTCCAGTCACGCTATACGAGCGTGATCAGTCATCCCGTTCTGACCACTTCTGCTTTGTTCTCCCGTCTTCCCGCTTTCATCAGCATCTTCGCTAGTTGCAGCCTAACGTCCGACCGCCTAAGTCCGACGTATACGATTTAACTGGGCATTGGGGCCTCCAATTGTCCGCTCTTATATGTCCCAAAACACGCCGCTGCTACAACATCAACAACAATTCAATTTTATGGAAACCCCGCAGAAGCAAAAGGAGAAAGCAATGGACATTGGCTCGCTGCTCTCCCCACCAGAGGCCACCAGAACGGTCGACTTGTTCTCCTCCCCCGTCAGCGTCTCAATGTCAAGGACACCGTCGCAATCGACTGCAATGGCCTCGTCGCAGTCGCAAGGTTCGACCTATGCACCCATGGCGAAGAAAGACCCGCGGGCCTTGCCTTCGCCACCCATCTCACCACACATCTACAAGGACGACATGGTGAGGGCGGACGAGGGCACCACAGATCCTCCATTGTTCCCGCCAAGAGAGGATATCGAGAATGTGAACAAGGGCCCTTTGTTCCCACAGGACGACGAGCAAGCCGCCATCGACGAGCATATCGCCACCCACGGTCGCCTGTGCTCCCAGGACGAATACAGACTGGTGCTGGACACCCTCTCGAACATGAAGTTCAACACATCGGTGGGCGCCGGATTCAACAGAAACCGGGCGAAATGGTGGGCTACCTCGCTGCAGACCTTTGCCTTCTACGATGAGATCAAGGCCAAGGCACGAAGGGAGGCAGCCACGGCCGACGCCAAGAAGCCACCAACCAGCACGCTTCCGCACAGGCGATTGGCTCCCGCGCCCGAAGGAGGACTCAGAAAGAAGGTGACGGTGCCACGCGTACAGCGGGTGCCTAAGCCCAAGCGTTCGCCACCGCAGCAGGTCTTCAACGACTTTGCCATGACGGCCAAGGAAACGTTGCCCAAGGCACCGAAGGCGCCTTCCAACAGAGATGACGTCGACTTCAACAGCATTCAGGACTTTTGCCCTCCGACCGACAACCTTGGCCATAACGCCAAGGCGTTGAAGGCGGATTGGAAAGGAGCGATGCTCGACCTGTCGCACGACCCAGACCGGCACCTTCTCCACGAGGCCGAGGTCAACCTCGCCGCCACTCTTAGACTGTCCTGCGCCACCTACCTGACAAGCAAGCGGCGCATCTTTGTCGCAAGGGTGCAGTGTATGCAGAAAGGCAAGGAGTTCAGGAAGACAGACGCTCAGCAGGCCTGCAAGATTGACGTCAACAAAGCCAGCAAGCTCTGGACCGCCTTCGAGAAGGTTGGTTGGTTTGACGACAAGTACTTCATTGGCAAGCGTGCTTGAGTGGCTGGCTCCTCACCACGAGATCGACCTTCGCCCGTGACAAGAACACACCCTAACACTACATTTTTACGGCGTTTTGGATTCTATCGCCCCGTTCACCCCCATCGCACACGCGCGCGCACTCACAGACACCAGAAACTGCACTGCTGAATGCTGCCCTTTTTACGACACGTTCCTTGACGATACCCCGCCACATCACGATAACGACCAAACCATTTTCTCTCTCTCATTTTCTCTCTTTTCCCCCCCGGCACACACGAACACGCAATCACACGAACACCACAACACACGTACGGTCTAGTATATGATTTTTCATTTGGTCTTGGTTGGAGTTTTTAATCCGGGTTTGTCCAAACACAGACATTGCCCCGCTCATCAGAATGAATGCTAGCGGAAGGCACCGCCCAAGAGGGCATCTGTGAGCAATTTTTGTCTCGTGTTCATGGGAGGCATGGGATTGTACGCTGCTTTGATACCCCCAATCGATACGCATCAATATCATATCATATCATACCATCATGACCTGCATCACGATACCCCAACCCCCGTCCCCCTTCCCCAATCACATTACACACATTGGAACCCACATTTAGCAATTGATTGGATCACATGCACTTGTTATTCACAAGCACCCCTTCCCACCCCCTCCCGCACGCAACCCATCGCAATGCTGAGTAGACACGAGCAATTGGAAGGGCGAGCTGAGATAGCAAGGCACACGTACAATGTGTGAGAAATAGAATAGGCAATATCACAGCCGGGCAGCGACAGTTAGCAGCCTAACCAGCATGGAGCAATGTGCCAATCTTCCAATCGATTTGAGGCCCTTGAGTGATGTTTTCCGCCCGTCCACGTCCTGTTTCAGCTAGATCGAGCCATTGGACGAATCGCGACCCGATGGCTCGTGATTGACCGGTCTCAGACATCTGCCTTGCACGGTGAGACAAATTTCCCGGAAGCCTGCGCCCGTGTCACACACACACACACACACACACAGCCTGGCCGCTCTAGCCTGACGGGGACCGGTGTGGATGGAGACTGGGACGGGGGCTGTTCTTCGTCCTCAAAGGACGGTTAGGGAAAAGGGGGGGAGGGGTGGCGGCTTCAGCCTGATCGTGCATATGCAGCCTGATCGTCGAGGGATTAAAAAAAAGGAAGCCTTGGTTCCTTGCGGCGCCTGCGCGATGTGCGGATGAGGCACCTGGACGAACGTGGCGAGCGCCTCGATGCGCGCGTTCTTGTTCTTGACTTTTTCCTTTCCTCTCCATCCTTTTTTTTCTTTTTCTCCTTTCCCTTTCGTAAGCAGGACGGGGCCTTTCCCCCGTTCCAGCACCTTGTGAATGGCTTTGGTCAGCCTGAGGCTGTCAGCTTTTGGAGAGGAAGAGGGGGGAGAGGTCGCTCATTCTTCGGTGTGGGTTTTATTTTTATTTTTATTTTTTTTTTTCGTTTTTAAATGGCTCCTTTGTCAAATATTGATCATCGATTCGATCGATGCATCGCATATTTGGGGACCATCACATTGCGGGTGCGAATTTTTTTTTTCATTTTTTTTTATTTTTTTTTTGGTTCTTATTTTGGCCTTTTTCGCCTTTTGGCTTGATCCAGCACGGACTGTCTGCTCTTGGGGGGGAAAGGAAAGAGGAGAGGGAGACAGTGTGAAATGAGGCAGAGTGCTTTTGGATTTCTGACCTGGTTTTTGGAGGATAGAAAAATATGATCTTGGATCGATCAATCCTATTTATTTACCTTTTTTTTCCATGGGTTTTTTATCTGACGAGGGAAATGTGAGCGGAAAGTAATAAAGCAGCCAAAGTAAATGAGAAAAAAATCGGCCTTCAGATTCCGCATGCACTCAGCTTTTTCTGCTCGCTCTGCCTCAGCATATCCAGCCTGCCCGTCCGTACTGGCAACCCTCTCGCTGCTCTCAATTGGCTTGCCTCTGAGCTTTCCCTTCGCATCACGTCGAGCCGCTGACCTTTTCCGACTCCTCCGTTGCGGCGTTGGGCGTGTTTGTTGGCGCGACTCCCCGCCAAGATTTCCCGCTCTCCCGCCGCCTTGGGCGCGCGAACGAAAACCCACACCCTAGCGCTTTTTGCTGCGCCCTCGAGTCCCCCCAAAGCGTGCGCACAAGCTCGCAACCGTCCAACCATCCAAACCTTCTCTCACACAAACGCAAGCTCATCCTTCCATCCCAGCGCAGTCACGACCTCCTCTCACGCAGCCTCAATCCTCACGTCTTCTTTCTCCTTCCCCTTCCTCCCTCACTCCTTCTCCTTTCTCTTTCTCAATCGCCCTCTCCCTCTCTTTTCCTCTCTCCACTCTTGTCTCTCTCTCCCTCTCTCCCGCTCTCTTCTCCCGCCCCTCACCAACATCGATCGCCGCACCACCTCTCTCGCGCACAGTCACGTCCATCTTCATCAATGGCCGAGTACATCGGCGCCCGCATATCCCTCATCTCCAAAGCGGACATCCGCTACGTCGGCACCCTCCACGAGATCAGCTCCGAGAACTCGACCGTCGCGCTCGAAAATGTCCGCTCCATGGGCACGGAGGACAGGCGCACGGGTCCGGGCTCCGTCGCGGCCAGCGACCGCCTGTACGAGTACATTATCTTCCGAGGCAGCGACGTGAAGGACCTGAGGATCGAGGAGCCGCCCAAACCGGCCGCCCCCAAGCAGGAGGCAGAGGTCCCCGATGACCCTGCCATCTTGGGCGTAAGTACCTTCTTGTTTTTGTGATGAGAGAAAAGAATAAAATAATCAAAGCCCATGGTTTTATCCCTTTCATGGGTTTCGCCTGCGTGCTGCAAGCCCCGTTGTCTTTGACGGTGGTTCGGCATATGGGCTTGGTGGGTTGATGAAGCATTTTCGGATGTAAAACTCTTTCAAAATGTCCAAGAGCGCAAAAACCGTGTGGATATTTCCGTTGCCTTCCTTCTGACCACCTTGACACTTTGTCCCCACGTTGTTATGAAGCCTGTCAATCGGGGTGCATTGTACTGACTTAGTTCGACACGTGGGCAGTCACAACGTCCTCCACATCAAGCTGGCACACCGTCGCAGCAACCACCCTTTGGTCAGCCTCCTCCGTATGGCCAAGGCTTCCCAGGATATCCTCCTCCAATGCACAACCAAGGCTTCGGCAGAAGTGGCTTCCCACCTGGCCCTGGTGCACCTGGCTTTGGGTATCCAGGTCCTGGTCCGTATGGTGGTGCGCCGCCTCCGGGCTGGTATCCTCCAGGCCAAGGATTTCCACAAGGAGGGCCGAACCCTTTCCCTCCCCAAGTTGCGCCGTCACATCCTGGTCAGCAGACGCCTAGACAGCAGCCGACGCCAATTGGAACCTCCAAAGACAACAAAGCTCCAGAAAAACGGGTTGAGGCTCCTACCAAAGCAGAGCCAAGCAAAGCTCCTACAGCTACATCTGCAACTGCAACTGCACAGAAGGATGCACCAGCTCCGGAAGCTGAGACGGTGGTGGAAGCCCCTTCTTCTGCCGCACCAACTGTGAACACCACTCAAGCTCCACCGACTGGGCCGAAGGGTCGGGCTCCAATCCCAATAAATCCTGCTGCCAAAACCAGTCCTCAATCTGGCTCAAATACCCAACCACAGAATGCACAATCTTTTGCCAGTGCCACGCAAGCCGCAACCGCCGCAGTCGCCGCCGCAATGGCGAAGCTACCAATGGCCCAGAAGATGGGCCAGCAAGAGAGTGGCTCGCAAGGCGTGGATAACTTGGCGAAGAAGGTCCAGGAAATGCGTACAGACGACCACATCCGTCACGGCCGACAGCAGGGCACAGGCGGCCATGTAGCGGCTCCACGTGGTCGCGGTCGTGGCCGGGGAGGCCATCACCAACATAGTAGGCCAATTGAAGTGCCCACCACAGATTTCGATTTCGAGAGCGCCAATGCCAAATTTAACAAGGAAGACCTCGCTAAAGAAGCCATCGCTACGGGCTCACCTCTTGGCATGTCATCTGAATCTGCTGGCGGAGCCGCCAACGGTGCAGCAACGGCGAATGGCGAGAAGGACGCTGGCAAGAAGGTTGAAGAGGTCATCATTCCGAAGGCAGAGGCCATATACGACAAGAAAACGAGCTTCTTCGACAACATATCGAGCGAGCTGAAAGACCGTGAGGAGAAGCGCGGCGCGGAGTTCAGGAACGAAGAGCGTAAGAAGAACATGGAGACGTTCGGGCAAGGGTCCGTGGACAACTACCGTCGCGGCTACGGAAGAGGTCGCGGCCGTGGATTCAGAGGTGGTGGCAATAGCCGCGGCGGTTACGGGCCGCGTGGTGGCAACACACGAGGGAACTTCAACAACAGTAACAACCGTCCGAAAGGCGGGGCTGCCAACGCTGAGTCGTAGACACAAAAGCCACATTCTTCGGGGTCGTATGGGAGAAAAACAAAAGATTACTTTCGTCATATGTATCACACACTAATGTCCGTTTCGTTGAAGGACGTTTGTGGTCGTCAATCGTGTCGCGCGTTGAAGCGTTTCTCAAAGTATCAGGTTAAATGAACAAAAGAACCACGAGGCAAGCGAGGTCTACAAAAGTGTATGTACACTTGGCCTACACGTTCTTGCATAAACGTCTGACGGAACTCAATGTAACACTAGCAAACCACCAAATACAAAACCCATTTCTTCCACAGCAAACATGTTCTTTTGTGTGCGTGAAGCTCCGTGTACCTAACTTCACGGCGCGAAGTAGGCAGCACCTTTGATTTTGTCATAGTTGGACGTTCATTTCGTCTAGGCGAACGTGACAGGCTAGTAATCGTTCACAAAGGCAAAGTCGAAGGTTATCCATACCCGTTAGGAGGATCTGGCGGAGACCATTGACATGTACGAGCTGTTGGATTAAGCCCCTAGCCCAGCGATGAAGCAAGTAAGAAAATTTCTACTACTGAGGTCTTCTCCATTGCAAACCTCGGATGGGAAATAAATGCTATCACCACGCGAATATTTCTATTCGAAGTAAGTGTACTTAACAGCCTTTACGCTCACACACATGCACACACACTTCTCTCTCTCTCTCCTGTCTATCTCCTGTCTATCTTATCGTCCATCTCCCCCATACATCCAGCGTCGCGAAAACACACGTACAAAAAGCCAGCGACCGCCTCAGGGAACGCTGCTCGTCCCCCTAGAAATTCCACAACCACCACCTCGCCTCCCTCGCGAGGGGGACGGCCGCACCGGGGCAAGAGCAAGGCGAAAGGCGTGAGCTCGTGTGTCTCCTCCTTCTTGTCCCGTTCCGCGGCGGCGCGTGCCACAGAGGAGGAGGAGGAGGAGGAGGAGGAGGAGGAGGAGGAGGAGGAGGAGGAGGACAGGACCTCTTTGTGTCCTCTTGACGATTCGCTCCTGGCAAGACTTCGCACCCTCTTCTCGCTTTTCGCCCCGTCCCGTTTCCTGCTCCGGCCGATCTGTTCACGCAAGGCCCGCGATCTCAGGCACAGCCTGTGTGCCCTGGTCTCGCAAGCTCGGAATGTATTTAGCAAGAAAGAAAGAAAAAAAAAAAAGGGAGAGAAATGGAAGAAGAATAGATTTTTGTTTTCTCTTATAGAAAAAAAAATAAATAAATTAAAAAAACCCCTGCCCACGTCGTAGATCCCGGAAAGTATAACAGACGCAGACGCATGAGCATCTGCACAGCTTTGCTCCAGTCGCTCTCGTGGAGTGGAGGCTCTGTCCGTCTTCTTCCATCCACGTGGCGAAGTCAAAGCTGACCTGATCTGCTTTTGCTTTCGGGCGTGATGATGGCCTCGTCCTAACATAGTTGTGTTTACGTTGAGGCTGAGCCCAGTGAGGTCGCCATGGTGAGGAATATGTGGATAGCGCAAATTCTTTCCTCCTGCATATATTTTCCGAGTAAAGCGTTACTCATGATCGACAGATTAGAGCTTACCGCCAACACGCATGCGATTTCTTACCAGACTACAGAGCACTGAATGACGAAAATTGCAAACGCGTTAGCAACACGGTAGGACAGCGAAGGGAGATAGAACGAAAAATCAACACTGCACAAGCCGTCGAACAAAGGAAAAGTTCAGCACATTCACAGCAGAAAAAGACCTAGATTACACGCTCAAAGAGGAAAGACGTGATAGACCCACATGTTGGCCCCCTCTAGCTTTTGTTGTCTCTCGAGTTGTGTTTTTGTACAATTGCGCCATGAGAGAGTGAGGATATGACTCGTGATGTGCAAGCGTCTTCACCTCCTCTTCGATGAACCACCATCTATTTTCCCTCCAGCTCAGCCAAGATCTTCTCACCCTTCGCTCGTGCGGACTCGATATCACCGACCATGTAGAATGCACCTACACAATGGATTAGTAATGGCGCCAAAAGCTGCGTTTACACGAAACATACCTTCTGGCAGATCGTCGCACTCGCCGTTGATGATAGCCTTGAAACTCCTGATGGTGTCCTTCAAGTCCACGAGCTTACCCTCGATACCAGTGAAGACCTCAGCGACAGCAAATGGCTGTGACAAAAACCTCTGCAGCTTACGGGCACGCTCGACAGTAAGCTTGTCAGCTTCAGACAGTTCGTCCATACCGAGGATAGCAATGATATCCTGGAGCGATTTGTACTCCTGAAGCATCTGTTGCACACGAGCGGCGGTGTTGTAGTGCTCCTCACCGATAACACGTGGATCGAGCAGACGGGATTTAGACTCAAGCGGGTCGACGGCTGGGTAGATACCCAACTCGGAGATACCACGGGAAAGCACAGTGGTAGCATCCAAGTGAGCGAATGTGGTGGCTGGTGCAGGATCAGTCAAGTCATCAGCTGGCACGTAGACGGCCTGGACGGAGGTAATCGAGCCCTTTTGCGTGGTAGTAATTCGTTCCTGCATGGCACCCATATCGACGGCGAGGGTTGGCTGGTACCCGACGGCAGATGGAATACGACCAAGCAAGGCAGACACTTCCGAACCGGCCTGAGTGAAGCGGAAGATGTTGTCAATGAAGAGCAACACATCCTGGCCCTCCTCATCACGGAAGTATTCGGCAACAGTCAAACCGGTCAGGGCAACACGGGCACGAGCACCTGGTGGCTCGTTCATCTGACCGAACACCAGTGCGACCTTGGATTCACCATCGAGCTGAATGACCGAGGTTTCCTGCATTTCGTGGTACAGATCGTTACCTTCACGGGTACGCTCACCAACACCAGTGAACACAGAGAAACCACCGTGGGCCTTAGCGACGTTGTTCTGTGACCAGTTAGTTTTTTAATGCCTTTTGTCTAGACTCAAGGACCACGCAAAACATACAATCAACTCTTGGATGAACACGGTTTTGCCGACACCAGCACCGCCGAAGAGACCGATCTTACCACCACGGGCATACGGGGCAAGCAAATCGACGACCTTGATGCCAGTAACGAGAATTTCAGCGGAGGTTGACTGGTCAACGAACTCTGGTGGATCGGCGTGAATAGGGCGCTTCTTGGTGGCCTTGATGGGTCCACGCTCATCAATTGGGTCACCCGTGACGTTCATGATACGGCCGAGAGTACCTGGGCCGACAGGAATCATGATGGGCGAGCCAGTATCAGTAGCTATGGCACCCCGAACGAGACCTTCGGTACCTGTTATTGCCAAGACTTAGCTCAAAGAGGTGTCAAAAACGATGTGAAGTCACGTACCATCCATGGCAATGCAGCGAACCACATTTTCACCCAAATGTTGCTATTAGATGTCAGTAAGTTCTGTATTGAGATCAATTGGGCGTCTATTGATGGCGTACCGCAACTTCCAAGACAAGCTTCTGGCCGTTGTTGTCGGTCTCCAAGGCATTTAGAATGGCGGGCAGCTGCTCTGTCTCGAACTTCACTGTTGATCATTGTTAGTCTCTATTTTGATGCCCTTGATAGCCCGTGATGAGAGATGATGCTGTTGTTGAGCTTTTGAAGCTTGTCTGATGACAGAGTCCGCCGAGCTTGATCAGCAAAAATCATCTCGGGTGCGAGCATGCGTGATCACGACGTACCGTCGACGACGGCACCGATGACCTGATGAATCTTGCCATCCTTTGCCGAAGCAGTCGATGCGAATCTCGACGCTACTGCTGGAGCAAAGCTCTTTCTGATGGGTTGGAAACGAGGACGGGTAAGGTTTGAAGCCGCCCGCAAGGAGCGTGGGAATGCGCTGTGCCAAAGTCAGTCAATTGCTGTCAATGCCATCTAATGGCATCTCGATGAAGCAGAGTAATTACCTCCTGAACATTCTGAAGGAGTTCGAGGGGGTGTAGAGAGGAGTGGTTGTGGTAAGGAGCTCGAAAAGCTGTCTCGAGCAAAGGTCGATGCGAGAAAACCCGGAACGCGCGAACCACGCCGAAGCTTAGCCGTGATCACGAGACTTCGGACTCCAACCACATTAGTCCGATCTAAAGGACATGGGGATAAAAGTTTTTCATCTCGTGCTTTCTCTATTTTCAACTCAATTTTCAATATACTTTTTAATATGCTTCCACGAGCCACTGTCATGTGACTTTCATGAGTTCCTCGCATTCAAATTTGGGGTTAAACTTACCTGTCTCAGACGCTTCACTGAGGTGTTTCGGGCTGACGCTAAACTATTTTTAGCTCATGCCAAGTCCACTGAACAAGTGGGCCAATCATAACGCGTCAAGCCTGTCTGACTGCAAATGGTCGCAGTGAGTAGATACAGAACCTCTGTGAATGTGCGCGTATGACTTCTGGGTTATATCTTTTACGTTAGATTATCTATTTTCAGCTTCAAACTTTGAAAGCAGGCAGTGCATAAATCCCTTCATCCATTACAACGACAATGGAACCCCTTCCACCCTCACCGTCTTCACATCTTGCAATTCCATCTGACACAGTTCTCAATCTTTTCAGCAGTCCGCGAATAAAGTCCTATATCTGTTGAAGATAGTGATCATGATATCCTCGGGGTTGATTTTACACCTGTTAGATATGAGCTTGGAGAGGCAGATATAAGAGAAAGGACTGGGCAACGTGTCCTGGCATATGAGGTGATTGAGAAGGTGATTGATGTACTTCGGCGGCATCATTGGTCCTTTCCAAAGTTTATTAATGACATGAGCTGGCATCCAAGGCAAGCAGGCAGATTATACTAAACAATAACCTCTATCGCACTCCAGCTATGCGGCGGCCTGCTCTTCGCAAGATCACTAACACCTAAATTCTTCATGACGCTTACCATGTTGCCCGTCTTTCGAGCCTTGTTATCTCAATCATCTTAGCCGAACTGGATACACTTATCCAGAAGGCTACATACTTTTGGCAGTATAACAGCACTGCTACTGTTGAAGAGTTGGATAATATCAATTTCACTGAAGCCTTTCATATACTTCAGATCGATGTGCCTACATGGTATAATTTATTCAACCAAATACTGCAGAACCAGTGTAGTTTCGTATAAGCTATACAATTATATTAAGAGAGGCAGAGATTTAGGCAAAGAGATAATGTGTCATAACCAACATTGTATGTCATAGCTGTGCCAAAGAACAGTCAGACTATCTTCATTGTTGGCTAGATACATATCTGCATGGTTCAGGTGTGAAACGCCAAGTGATTGGGACATTAGTTGGCTTTAGATTATGCCATAGCTATACACAGGCCAATAGAAGGATGAAAGCACGTATTGCTGTAGCCATGGTATGATATTTTTCTTTTATTTTAAATAAGTTCAAACAACATATATCTTTCAAAGCTATTTATTGTATGTCACGATGAGCTCCTGCGAACCTCCTTAAAGCCAACTTGCTGGAAGGTACCGTCCATCATGGCAAAGAGTGATGACCTCTTCCAGAGTGATTTACTATAGATATGATGGCCTTTATATTCACATTCTACAGCTTTACGTGCTCTATAATAATTTAACTTACTTTTCAAACACGCCAAATTTTAAAAATTCTCAGAAAACGTCGCCACCCCAATTAGAACGTGTATTCATATGATTTTACGCACGCTTTTGGGGATATCCTGAGCCAGCGCTTGGCTGGCATGGTCCATGTTAGCTAACGATGATAAGTGTGATTATGAAGGGAAGAAGTCAAGTAAGCGCATGAACATGAAGCTCAGGTGGGAACGAGCCTTGAGCCTGAGAACGAGTCGGATTTTAGAGTCGTCTATTTTCAGTAGCCCAAGGTCGAAATTTTTGAGGACACGTTGGGGCAGTTTGGACCACTACGAACAGATTTCGATCATGTTGATCGTGCAGATCAAACCGATATCTGAATTACGTATAGAGTGTAATATATACCGAATCACAATCTTGACTCATGTGTTGCCCTTCTTCATAGGTGTTAGGAATACTTTCCCTATACCGACTGGCTTCACCGATGTAAGCCACTTCGGAAGGGGTTAGCTTCCTAGAGCAAGGGAACAATGTATAACTAGAGCTTATTAAGGAAGGAATATAATAAGATAGTTATGTTTGTGACTTAGAA